ATATATAAGAAAAGTATTCAAGAATTAAAATAAATTTAATTTCATCGAGCATTATAAATGACTAATACAAATTTTAACCTCACTATAATATGTTATATATTATGTTATGTTATAAATATTATATAAATGAAATATTAATTTAGTCTAAAGGTCATAAAATATAATTTTATTTTTCAATCATGCAGATTATTATAATTATAATCATGCAACCCAATATTACGCAATTAATTAATGAATCTCTTCTTTCATTCTTCCACAGTTTCATCCACCTCCATCTTCGCCTCATCATTGCTACCTCCATGGTGTAGAATAATATTAGTATTATTATTATTGCTATTATTATTATTATTATTATTATTATTATTATTATTATTATTATTATTAGTTATCTTGGAGAATAAGTTAGGTTTTAGATATTATTATAAGATCTTGTCTTGTTGGACAAGTTAGGAATAGAGTTTATGAGCCTTATATAAAGGACTCATCTCTTTTGTTATCTCAAGTTGATTATTAATAAAAATATGAAGTGATTGTGTGTTCTATCGAGAGAGTATCTCGTTTTATCATTTCCACTCGTACGCTTCCCCTACATCACTCCACAACTATTGTGTTCATTATTACTTAGTATACATTATGTATGGAGTAAATGTACGCTCATAATATGCAGTTGACATAAACTAAATATTCATCTGGTTTGGTATGAATTGAATATACAATTTTTATAAACTAAATGTTCACCAATATTATCAACTAAGTATGCATTGTTCATGAACTAAATATACTCTACGTATGGAAAAAATATACGCATTTTGCATGAACTAAGTGTGCAGTGAAATTATGAAAGAATGTGCATTATTCATATAATTAATTTAAATATAATAATAATTATTTATTATTATATAATTAATGTAAATTTAAACTGATTAATATATTGATCTACACAAATAAATGACTATGATTCATCAGATAAATCAAATATACAACCTAAATATGCATTTTATGTGAACTAAATATTCATCATGTATTATAGTAATCATATAGTTAAAAACAAATAATAATATTATATCAAATTAATTATATAATAAGAAAATATATTGATCGGTTTGAACTAAATATGTATTTTAAATGAGTAATGCTACTGATATAGCCATACTCTGGTAGACCAGCCTAAAATCCTCTACTCGACCGAATGGTCGTTCAGACCGTTCACATGTTGATGGATGCCCATTGACATGTACGAGTCAACTTCTGCAGAGTCGACTCTTTATAAGACGGGCTGAGAAGCGGCAGATCCTCTACAAGTCGATCCCTAGAAGTCGACCTCACATAGTCGAATTCCTAATGGTCGACATCCATTTAAGAACCAACAATAGCGTAGCCTCTGAATAGCTAGAAATTCCTGAGTCGACCTCCTTATGTTCAAGGTCGACTCCGCGAATCTCGAAGACGAAAAGCATGCGGACAACTCAAAACACTTGGGGCATATCTGAGAACCTCCTGTCTCCCAATGGATAAGAGGGAATTTGCTATGACTCAGCAATGAGAGAAGACGAACCGATCGGGGTAGTTTAGACCTTTCAAGTAAATCAACCAGGGCATTTCGGGTACTTCAAGTAAGTGTTTCCTCCTATATAAAGGAGGTGAGGTAACTCTAAACCCTAACTCTCCCATTCATTCCATACATTCTCTCTTCTGCTGCTGCTCTCGGAGAACAGCTTCTTTTCATCTTTTTCATTGACTGATTTGAGCGTCGGAGGCTCTACGCCGAAAACACCCCGACTTTGAGTTCTTGCAGGTGTCTTGGCGGTCTAGCAACGGTTCGAAGGCGATTTAAACAGATCCGAGCTTAAAACCATCGGTTCTCTTCAGATCCAGAAATAGACTCATCATTTTGGCGCCGTCTGTGGGGAGTTCTTGAAGGAATTAAGAGCTTTACACCTAGCTCCGATCTGTTTCTAATGGCTGAGAAAGAAGGTTTGCAGAGGAATTTGAATGAGGAGTTTAGGGGAGCTTGGACCGACAGAAGGCCACCACCAATGTCCACCCCTAGACCTTCAGTGATACAGATGTTGGGGTTAACATACTTTGGAGGACTTCTGCCGTCAGGGATGAATCTGAGTGGGGAAACACCCATTACACCCCCTGGGGTGAAGGTGCAGGTGTTGACCCAAGTAAGAGCAAGTCAAAACCCTAATCCAAATGTTGGGGAGAAGGAACCAACGGAGATGTCCCGACGTGAGGGTAATCAAATCCAGGAGGTACCGGAGCAAACACAGGCACAACCCCGCCTCGAGGAAAAAATGCTAAAGATGACGAGGAGCGAGATGCAAAACATGATTGCCGAAGCTGTGGCTGCCCAGATGAAGCAGGCGGGGCAAGTAGAGCAGAATCCCCTGGTTGAGCCACAGCCTCGTGTCGACCAACAAGCTCAATCAAACGTGCAACAAAACAGGAGGGCGAACGAGGAAGAGTATTCCATTCGAACTGTCAACCCGCAGGAAAGGGACGAGACGTTGGAACAGTTGTTGGCTCAAGTCCGCGACTTACAAGCTCAAGTCAGGAGAAAGAAGAGTAGGGGAACCAAAGAGCATCTATTCTCACAACAGATCCTGAAAGCCGACTTACCTCAAGGCTTCAGGGAGTTGAACATATGGTACGATGGTTCCACTGATCCGTCCCGACATCTGAGAAGTTTTGAGAATATGGCGGTGCTCCACCGCTACAGTGACCCGATGCAATGTCGTGCTTTTTTTTATGACTCTAAAGGGGTCGGCCCAGGACTGGTTCCATCAGTTACCAGCTAGGTCGATTCAGGACTTTGATGGTTTCAGTTCGAGCTTTCGCAACCAGTTCGCTAGCATTAGAGTGCAGGAGAAATCCTACCTCTCATTGATCAGCATGCAACAAAAGAAGGGCGAGTCGCTACGAGAATATGTGTTGAGGTTTACAAGGGCATGTGTCGACTGCCCAACAGCAGCAGATGAGATCAAATCGGGGGGACTAACGAGGGGACTACTACCAGAATTGTGTAAGAACTCTTTGGCCAAGCGATCTGGTAGGAGTTTCGCTGACGTGCTGGGAAGATGCGCTAAGTATATGAATGTCGAGGAAGTGGAGGTCGACTATCTACAAACCATGAAGGTATCCCAGATGAAAGGTCGAGATGACAAGAAGGAAAAGAAAGGGCACTCGATGGGGGTAAAGGAGAGGATCACCACGGGCGGACAGGGTTGAAGAAAGGTCTAGGGGGTGGAGGCCAATCCAATACACACCCCTGTCGGCTCCTCATGCGAGAATATTGGAAGTAATGGAGAGGGAAATCTGCGACGATGTGGTAAGATGGCTGAGGACGAGAAAGGATGGTCCAGTGAAACCGAAAGGTTCTATATTGTCGATTCCATAAGGATTCCAGGCATAATACCGGTGACTGTAGACACCTCAAAGACGAGATCAAGAGGTTGATTAAAGCTGGGCATCTGAAGGAGTTCATATACAAAGATCGCGAAAGGTCGAGTAGGAAGAGGGAAATGAGTAAAAGCCCTCGTAAGAGGGCGAGATTGCCGGAAAAAGAAGACCTTCCACCGAAAAGAGGAGTGATTCACATGATCTTTGGGGGTCCGACGAATGGAGATTCAAATCGGGCAAGAAAGGCGTACTCGAGGTCGATATGCAAAAGTCGAGGTGCACCAGGTCGAGGAAAACGGACTACTGATG